ATACGAAATAAAAGTAGAAAAATAATACCCGAAATTGATAACGGAGTTCAGCCAATTGTGCTTACGTCTCCGGACTGCTGCAGATCTTTTACTAAGAGAGAAATTTTACAGGTGTTTACAAAACACTCACTACTCACAAGAAAACTCTCTAGTATTGGGAGAAATAAATGATTTTTGGGATGATTTTGAAGCTAAATGAGCTAGGGTATTTATAGTTGAAACTTAAGGACTTAATCTTGTAAATACCCTAAAGCCTAGGGATTAATTGTGATTATCCTATTATCATTTTTCAACAAACATCTACCAAACTTTGAAAAATCATTTTTCAAAGAAACATTTACCAAACTTTGAAAACCATTTTTTCAAAGTTGGTTACCAAACTTGAAAACCATTTTAATAATTTCAACAATCTCCCACTTGAAGACTGATTTTAATCTGTCTTCACACCTCGATCAATGCAACAGCTTTTCTAGTCTTGTTACTCTAGCATGCCAACTGAAGTTGAACACAACTTCAGTTTGTCTGTAGTCACCGTCTTTGTCAACATGTCTGCCGGATTTTGAGCTCCACTGATCTTTTCAAGTTTCAAAATCCCATCTTCCAGAAGAGACCGGATAAAATGATATCGCAATTGTATGTGCTTTGTCCTGGAATGAAAAGACGGATTCTTTGCTAGATGTATAGCACTTTGACTATCGCAATATAAGACATTGTTTTCTTGTTTCTTGCTAACTCTTCCAATAAACTTTGGAGTCAAACCATCTCCTTGATGGCTTCCGTAACAGCGACATATTCTGCTTCAGTTGTGGAGAGAGCAACTATCTTCTGTAGTTGAGAAACCCAACTCACTGCGGTTCCTCCTATAGTATAGACATACCCTGTAGTGCTCCTTCTGATGTCAATATTTCCGGCTAAATCAGCATCTACATAGCCTGTCAGTATTGTATCTCCACCTTTGAAACAAAGTGTTTTGTTTGTGGTACCCCGCAGATATCTGAGGATCCATTTGACTGCTTCCCAGTGTACCTTGCCCGGATTATTCATGTGTCTGCTAACAGCTCCCACTACTTGAGCAATATATGGTCTGGTACAAACCATGGCATACATCAGACTTCCAATTGCTGAGGCATACGGCACATTCACCATGTGTACACATTCTTCCTCCGTCTTTGGTGACTGTTCTTTGGAGAGTCTGAAATGAACACCTAAAGGTGTACTTACTAGTTTAGCATCTTGCATGTTGAACCTGGAGAGTACTTTGTTGATGTACTCAGCCTGTGATAATATCAAAGTCCCCGACTTTGTGTCTCTCTTGATCCTTATCCCAAGAATCTGCTTTACAGCGCCCAGATCCTTCATAGCAAACTGCTTTGACAATTTTTGCTTCAAGTTTATAATCTCTTGCATGTCTGAGCCTGCAACGAGCATGTCATCAACGTACAACAATAAAATAATGAAGCTATTGTCGAACCTCTTGATGTAGCAACAATGATCTGCTTGGCATCTGGTAAAACCACTGTTACTCATGAAACTATCGAACTTCTTGTACCACTGTCTAGGAGCTTGTTTTAAACCATACAAGCTCTTCTTCAACCTGCATACCAGGTTTTTATTGCCTACCTCTATGAAGTCTTCTGGCTGCCTCATATAGATTTCTTCCTCCAAATCACCATGAAGGAAAGCTGCCTTTACATCTAACTGCTCAAGATGTAAATTCTCTGCAGCTATAATTTTCAACACCAGTCTGATTGTAGATAGCTTCACGACTGGAGATAAAATTTCATTGTAATCAATACCTTCTTTTTGTTGAAAACTTTTGACAACCAATCTTGCTTTATAGCGTTTGCTCCCATCGTGCTATTCTTTGATCCTGTAAATCCACTTGTTATGGAGTGCTTTCTTGCCTGGTGGTAATTCAGCTAATTCTCACGTCTGATTTGACATAAGCGAGTCCATCTCATCTTTCATGGAAGACTCCCACTTGACTGAATCCTCCACTTGCATTGCTTCATCATAGCACTCTGGTTCACCATTGTCAGTCAGCAACAAGTAGTGCAAAGAAGGAGAATACCGTTGGGTTGGTTTAGGAATTCTGGAGGAGCGTCTCAGTTCTGGTGTGCCTGGTTCTTCCTCTTGAACTGCTTCAGGATTGATATGAACATCATTTCCAGAAATCTCCTCGAACTCAGCAAATTCCTTTGTTTCAGCTTCGGTATTACTTGATTCTGCGGTTGACCTATATTTGTACATCACATTTTCATTGAAAATGACGTCTCTACTTCTAATGATCTTCCGATTTTTGTAGTCCCAAAACCGGTAACCAAACTCATCACCACCGTAACCAACAAATACGCATTTGTTGGACTTGGCATCAAGTTTACTTCTTTCAGCAGAGTTTATGTGTACATAAGAAATACAACCAAACACTCTTAAGTGTGAAAGGTTTATTTCTTTCTTGCTCCAAGCTTCCTTTGGTATTCCGCCATCCAAAGGAACTGAGGGCCCACGGTTGATCAGGTAAGCTGTAGTGTTGATAGCTTCAGCCCATAGAAATTTGGGCAATCCGGCATGTATCCTCATGCTTCTGGTACGTTCATTCAGAGTTATGTTCATGCGCTCTGCTACGCCATTCTGCTGCGGTGTTATGGGAACTGTTGTGTCCATCTTGATCCCATTGTTTGCGCAGAAATCTCTGAATCTACTATCTCTGTACTCTCCTCCATTGTCAGACCTCAACCGCTTGACTTTTAAACCAGTCTCATTTTCCACCATGGCCTTCCATTTTCTGAAGGTATCGAAGACTTCTGATTTCTTCTTCAGAAAATAAACCCACACCTTCCTTGTTGAATAATCGATGAAGGTGACATAATATAGTGAGCCTGCAAGAGATGGAACCGGGGATGATCCCCATACATCAGTATGAACCAATTATAACCTTTCTGCATTGGGTGTCTTGCCAATCTTTGCAAAACTGACTTTCTTTTGTTTGCCAAAGATAGTTTCCTCGCATAGTCCGACATCTACATTCTTTAGATCCGGCAGCTTCCCTTTTGACAGAAGTATCTTCATTCCTTTCTCGCTCATATGGCCAAGCCTTTGGTGCCATAGGTTTTATTTTCCATCAACATCTGCTACTGCAATGATATTCTCTAAGGTTACATAGAGAGTACCAGTCTTCTTACCACGAGCAATGACGAGTGCTCCTTTGGTAATCTTCCATTCACAGCCTGAAAAGGTTGTACTGTATCCTTCTCCATCAAGCTGTCCTACAGAAATCAAATTTCTTTTGAAACCAGGAATATGTCTCACTCCTGTCAGCTTCCAGGTGGTCTGGTTTGGCAGCTTTAGTCGGATGTCTCCTTTTCCGACGATCTTCAAGGTTTCATCATCAGCAAGATGAACCTTCCCAAAATCACTACTGATACAGTTCTCCATGATTTCTTGGCATGGCGTGGAGTGGAAAGATGCCCTTGAATCCAAAATATATGATTCAATCGGACTGTTGACGCTTAAAATCATAGCATCACATGTCTCCTCCGTCATGTTGGCAGATTCCTGTGCGCCGGTATTTTTCTTCGGTGCTCGACAATCTCTTTTGAAGTGGCCCTTCTTGCCGCAATTATAACAGGTAAAATCTTTATTTCATGTTCTTGATTTTCCCCTTCTGGATTTCGATCTGCCACGATTTGAATTTCTTTATGAAGTTCTCTCTCTGGACTCCGTGTGCAAGGCTGAGGAGGTTGATGCTTCACCCGATTCTCTCCGTCGAATTTATTCACTCAGTACCAGATCCCAAACATCGTCGAATTTTAATTTGTTGTTTCCCGACGAACTGCTGACTGCTGTAACAGTAGCATTCCAACTGTCTGGTAAAGATGATAAGAGAATTAAAGCTCGAACTTCATCATCAAATTCAATTTCCACTGAACTCAACTGGATTGTGATTGTGTTGAGTTCATTTAGGTGTTGTGCCACCGATGCCCCTTCCGTCATCCGCAAATTAAATAATCGCCTCATCAAATGAACTTTGTTTGAGGCCGATGACTTCTCATACATACTGGAGAGAGCCGTCATAAGACCCGTCGTGGTCTTTTCATTTGCTATGTTGAAAGCAACATTGCGGGATAGCGTCAGTTGGATAACTCCGAGGGCTTGTCTGTCGAGAAGGGCTCAGTCTTCATTCTTCATGCCCTCTGGTTGTTTTCCTGAGAGGGGTTGATATAGATTTTTCTGGTATAGAAAATCTTCAATTTGCATCTTCAAAATCCAAAGTCCGCACCATCGAACTTTTCAATTTTCACATTCCTTTCGTCTGCAGCCATCGCTCCCACTCGAATCTGGCTTCGTTTGGATCGTTTCTGACAATTTCTGCGAACCGCCGTGTATTAGAACACCTCCGTCGACAAACTCGTATCGCCGACCGAATTTTCTTATTCACGAAATTTACTATTTATGTAAATAGTAACCCGAATAGTAACCCCATAAAAAATTGACAGAATTCACAATCAAAAGCTCTGATACCAGTTGTTAGGAAATAAACGAGTAACAAGTAACTTCCCTATAGTCAAATTAGTGAGAATACGAAATAAAAGCAGAAAAATAATACCCGAAATTGATAACGGAGTTCAGCCAATTGTGCTTACGTCTCCGGACTGCTGCAGATCTTTTACGAAGAGAAAAAATTTACAGGTGTTTACAAAACACTCACTACTCACAAGAAAACTCTCTAGTATTGAGAGAAAGAAATGATTTTTGGGATGGTTTTGAAGCTAAATGAGCTAGGGTATTTATAGTTGAAACTTAAGGACTTAATCTTGTAAATACCCTAAAGCCTAGGGATTAATTGTGATTATCCCATTATCATTTTTCAACAAACATCTACCAAACTTTGAAAAACTATTTTTCAAAGAAACATTTACCAAACTTTAAAAACTATTTTTTCAAAGTTAGTTACCAAACTTGAAAACCATTTTAATAATTTCAACACAATTTGACCATATAAACCAACAAATGTTAAATCATTGAACATCATTCAAACATTCAACATCCAAAATCTACAATGATTACCTTAGAAAATGATTTCAAAGGAAAACAATTGGTTACCTTAGAGTAGAACATCAAGTTCATTCATCCACAGAAATAAAGGGATCATAAAATGTCCAATAAAATACGTCTAATGATTCCGCATAGCATATGGCTGTAAACATGAACATCGCTTAACCACGAAAACTGAGGACCGCACACGAAGATGCACCGACGACCTTTTTCCCCAGAACTAGTATTCTCCATTATGTTTGCTTCCTGTCATCTTCAACTCCGTTGTGTTTTAGTGCTTTCAATTTTCTGTAGCCTTTATCGGTGCCGAATATCCTGACGGAATTTACAGGGTGCTCACCGGTAGTCAGTATGATATCCGTTTAAATGACAAAATCAAGTTCAATTGCGAGTGATAACAGATACGGAATAATAACCGAGCTTATTGACATCTAACTCACAAACTTTAGATGGTGCGTTACAAAGCTGGTATAAAGTTAAAACGACAAAAAGAAGTTCCTGAGATCGAGTGCCAATATATCTAAACTGTCCCAACATCTTAACAGATACGAGGAAAAAGTATTTGGAAGCATGAGTGTTAGTGAAGGCATCGAGAGACCGATATTTACATAAACAAGGCCGTATATGCATAAAACAAGGGTGTCGGACAAGGTACTTAAGAAAAAAAGAAAACTCAGACCGACAGTAGCTTAAGGTATCAACATGTCTAAAACAAACAAAAATGGCAGCAGCATATAAGATCCATACAGATTCACCTACTTCTATAATCAGACAAATATAGTGGCAATCACCACAACCTTGGATTCTGACCATGGGAAACATGCTAATGATTCGAAAAACAAATACAAAAACTTACCAGTCCATGTAAACGAATGTCGATGAATAGTTGCCAGATTTTGTATAAAGCAAACGATGATGATAGTCATGGAAATCAGAACTCGAAAAAATGAAAATATGAACAATTACTTCACAGAAGATAAAACAATAGAACTACAAACACTCATGAAGCAAGGATATAAGCAAACACCAAACTCACCCCCCATATAAAGGTAGAAAATTCGAGAGGCTCCATGGAAAATGGTAACCGCAATGTGCTTCAACTGTCTCGAGGACTCTAAGAACCATCCACAACCAGAGAGTAATCAGATGTGGACCGGTTATGGCAGGACCAACAATTGTAGCAAAACCAAGGAACAATATCTCGGCAGGGTGAGCATATTCTGATGTCAGTCCAAATGGTGTAGCGTATCTGTATAGTTTATAGAATTATCCGATTACCACATGCAGAAAAACCTAGCATGAATAACATAGCTCGTAGTTTCAACTATACAACCACATAATGTTCAGACTTACTCGTGATGGACGCTGTGTACATGCTTGTACAGCCATTTTGTATGTAAAACACGGTGTCCCCAGTAGAACACGAAATCCTCCAGGATGAAGTAGAATATTATCCGAGTCAGGACCACTTTCCTGTGGAACCAAATAATGATGTAGCCAATCAGATCTCCAAACCCGAGAATTTAATTTCACACAGGCACGTTTATGGAGGGGATATTCCAGATAGGTAATACAATTCAAGGATATTATGTTTGAATGAGGTATAATCAAGGAAAATAAAAGCTCTAACATATAAAGAACCTGAAAATACCAGGATGGCAGTGGTAGACTACTTCTCATTCCCATGAATCTGAAGACAGGATACGAGACAATCATAAGCGGTAGGTTGACGCTAAAATGATACAAAAGCAGGCGATTGATACATCTTTCCTGAGCAGTAGGGCTATTGTTTTTTGTCTGCATAGAAACACGAATTACAAACGAAACAAATTTATTAGGAACTAGACAAAAACGAATAATTTTTTCATCAGGAACAACCCATCCCTTCCCCTTGCCAATTTTTATGTTAAGGAAAGTAATATCGGTCAACAACAGTAGCAGCAAAGAAGATGGCATGAACCTGAATCTTGTATTTGCTTAGCAATCCAGCTCTTTCGAGATATATAAATGGAAGTCCGGATAAGAAAAAAACGCTTTCATGAAGAACGAAACTTCCCAAACTAGCTAGTTGGAAATCACTGAAATGTGTCATCAGATACTGCGTGATAAAACAAAAAAAAAAAGAATTTGAGGGCCAACCAATATCTTATATCTCATGACATAAACTGCGATTATGAATGTAATATGGGCTGTGACCATCATATTTCTCAAACTAATTAACGAACTACGCATCAAGAGGTGAAATCAATAAGCAAAATTAGACAATTCTGGCGAATCAGTGACTAGGATTCAAAACCCAAATGAATGTCAATTCCATCATCCAAGCTATGTAATCCACGACAGTCATTTTCAAAAACAAACATATATATATACACACACACATATGTTTATAAGCAAGTGTGTATTCAAACTATAATGGCTTAAATGAATCTCAGTATGTAAGAGATAGACATTATAAACAAAGAACAATGATCAATCAAATCTTGTATTATTGAATTGTAAACATCAACTCCCATCATGTAAAATGTACAATGAATGTCACAATCCAGAAACAGACGAAAGTAAATAAATAAATAAAAGCTAAAAAACTTTCAAATCATACATAACCATCAAATTAACTACCTTTTCATATCCAATACAAGCAATTGGCAAAAGCAAGAAGAAAGAACAAAAAAGATAGAGAGGTTACTAGCCAGCCAGATTCAATGGTGGAAGCCATGAGAGAGCTCGGAAGTTGGAAGATACTGATAATCCAAAACGGGGTTTAAAAAATTAAATACTTTTGTGTGTGAGAGAGAGGGAGATGGATGGACAATTAAAGAGACAGTGTCACTATAGAGAGTAAATAAATAAAGACCACGAGATGAGTACAGACTACAGACTGTCAAATTGAATCTGGCCTTTCTCCAAGGGCTTTTTTTTTCTCTCTTTTAGGTAATCCACGCTTTTTGTCCTAAACTTTGACTATATCCTTGTTTAAGTCACTATATTCCAAAATTTGTAGGTTTAAGGGCTATTTTTATCCTGTTATAGATTTAATTTATCATTTTTGTCTTTATGATATTTTTACATTAATTTAGCCGTCAAAGTAATTTAGGGACATCATCGTAACCCTTGAAGTTCATTGACTATTTTGACTAATAAAATTATGAATATTCTACGTCTGTTGATTAAAAGATTGTGTTAAAATAGTTATTAAACACAACGATTAAAAAAAATTCCAAAATTTTATTATTTATTTCAATGAGATTAAGAGATTAGGTTAAAACTTTAGAATTTTTTTAAACCATTGTATTTAGTAAATATTTGATTATTTATTTTTTTAATAAATATCATGTCACCACGTCAATAATATTGACTGACGTGGAAATTGCTTACGTCCACATGCGTAGAAGATTAATGGTTATGTTAGTTAAAACGGACTTTGAGAGTTATTATGATGTTTCTAAACAATTTCGAGAGCTAAATTGACGTAAAAATACCATAGTGATAAAAATGATAAATTATGTCTACTATATAAACAAAAATAATAATTAAACCAAAATTTTAATTTGATGGTTCAACTTTCGAAACACTCCATTTTATGTCACTCAAATATTAAATCATAAATAAAAGGGTGATACAGACTATTTTTCTTTTGACATGGAAGCCATTTCATTTTTTGTATTTCATCTTCTTCTTAATAACTTCAACATTCTTTAAATTTCGTTCACAACTCATGCCACAGAAGACACTATCGCCCTATAATTGCTTCTTCGGCAATTCTATATATCAAAATAATCATTTCATTATCCCTCAACGATTTTGTTTTATAAAAATTTATCTAAAAGTTGAGAAGCTTTAATCCAAAATTTGAAGAAAACAACTCTAATCTATAAATTTTATTTATATAAATATAATTTTTAATCATTTAATATTAAATATTTATATATCTGACATTCACGATACTAAAATCTGTAACTAACAATTATTTTTTTATTATCGTTTGATTTGTGCTTGCCTATATTATTTTTATTTACAACTCCTAAAAGAATCTATGATAAAAAAAAGGCAACAAGTGGTGGAGGGAGAACCGGAGAAGCTTTCAACCTGATCATTGAAGAAAATCAAGGAAACACATGTTTTTCTTTGTTTTCATGCTTTTACCGGTGAAGTTTTCAACTTCACATTGCAATTAAAATAATAAACCAACAGTCCAGCTGCACCTCTGAGTCCGGCCTGTAAAATTCTATGTTACCAATCGACAAGTGGTGGAGGGAGAACCGGAGAAGCTTTCAACCTGTTCATTGAAGAAAATCAAGGAAACACATGTTTTTCTTTGTTTTCATGCTTTTACCGGTGAAGTTTTCAACTTCACATTGTAATTAAAATAATAAACCAACAGTCCAACTGCACCTCTGAGTCCGGCCTGTAAAATTCTATGTTACCGATCGACAAGTGGTGGAGGGAGAACCGGAGAAGCTTTCAACCTGTTCATTGTAGAAAATCAAGGAAACACATGTTTTTCTTTGTTTTCATGCTTTTACCGGTGAAGTTTTCAACTTCACATTGTAATTAAAATAAAACAACAGTCCAACTGCACCTCTGAGTCCGACCTGCAAAATTCTATGTTACCAATCGAATTAATGAACCACATTTTATTATCAAATGAGTGGTTTTTCTTTGTATTGAAATTTGAGCCGTTTCTCTATACTATATGATGGTAAAATCCCAATACCCAAAAATCCCCAAGTGTGAAACACGCGCGACACCAGAAACCATTGCAAATCCAAAACTCCACCGATATTTTTTTTAAATCCTTTTAATACCGATTTGGAAGTTTCTATTTCCGTTTAAAGTCATCATCGGCCCGAAGAATCAACAGCCCAAAATCTGATTGTCTCCGGAAAGCCACTGACCAACCGACGAAACTCTCTTGCGATCTAAAAGAAAAGATGAAGAAAGTGGACACAGTGAAACTCATCAGCGCTGAAGGGATGGAATTTGTCATCGACAAGGAAGCTGCCATGGTTTCTCAAACCATCCGTAACATGCTTACTTCTCCAGGTCTAATTTGTATTTCCTTCCATTTCTTCTTGTTTGATCGTTTTGGGCATTCGGGTTTTCTGGTTTCTTACTTGGAAAGGTCTAATTTTTAACTTGTTTTCCTTTGGGTGATGATGATGAAGGTGGTTTTGCGGAGGCGGAGCATGGGGAAGTGACTTTTCCGGAGATAAGTGCTGTGATTCTTGAGAAGATTTGCCAATATTTTTATTGGTCTCTTCAATATTCCAGGTTTGCGTTTTGTTTATTTTGTTTGTTCTTTTAGTTTTATAAGCTTCTATCGATGTCTGTTTTGTGCCATTTTGAAAGAATTCCATGAATTGTAGCTCTGGGAGGATGAATATGTTAATAAACTATATGCGAGTTTATCCCAATTGGCTGTTGTTTTTTTCTCCGGGAAAGCTGTTTGTCTTGATTATGTTGGATGTGAATTATCAAATTATATAGTGGGAATACTTTCATTATTCTAATTTAAAGCCAAATATAAGTGTTTGATGAAGTCTTTGACTATTCATAGTGGCTACTTATGTTTCAGAGCAGTTTTAGTTAAGCGTTTCCTTGCTATATAACGACCCTTAGTTATCCGTTTTACATAGTGTACTTCTCGATGTTAGCTCAACATGCTTATGCAATAACTTTTCATGTTTTATCAAGATGTAAATGAGTCTGATACATTTTCTTTTGAAATATTCTGGGTTTTTCATGTATTATAGCTCAATTCTATTTGAAAAACATCATCTAAATATAAGTTCCTAGATGAATGGAATTCACTTTGATTTTAATTTTCTGTTGGTGTGGCATTGAGCATGATATCCTCTTCTCCGTGCAATAGTTCCACATGGATGACTATAGAAATTAAATATTTTCCGAAGATGGAAAGTTCTTCTTGTATCCTTTTTATGTACAGTTTGGAGTTTCAATGGCTATTGAAATCTCAAAATCATCAAAATTACTCTCTTATGCAAGAACTATCATTGTTTACTTTTGTTGATTGCTCGAATCGGTGTATCCTCTTATGTTCAGTTTGGTGTTTTAACTGCTATTGAATTCTCAAACTCGTCAAATTTATTCACTTGTGCAAGAACTATCATTGTTTACTTTTGTTGATTGCTCAAATCAGGTCCGTCTCTGTGTTTTTAACTTAGAGTTATGTGTATGAGTTCTTCCCAATTTTGTTTTACACTGATAAAAAAAAAAAGTGAACTTTGTCAGGGGTAAAGAGACTGAGTTCCACATTGAACCGGAACTGACGCTGGAGCTGATGATGGCTGCTAATTATCTCCATACTTAGCATTTTTTTTTTACTATTAGGTAAAATGTTCTATTTAATGTTGTGAAGCATCTTGGTGCACAAATGTTGTCACTTCTGATTGTTTCCAGAGTACTTTTGATTAAACAATGAATTGGTTATCATTATTTCTGTACGAGCGTCGTTTCCAAGTTATCATCTTTCTCTTTTGTGTCTGCCTTGCAGATTGGTATTCTTGCCCGAGAGGAGTATCTATGTTGTGCGCATTTGAGCTCTCTGCTGCATTGCATAGTGGTATTATCTACAACTATCTTGTGTGATTGTTTTGACTTAGAACGTAGACTTCTGTATGTAAATGACTGTAGTGAACGAAAGATGTGTGACTGATTCTATAATCAGACACAATTTTAGACTACGACCTTTTACGGATTAATTGTATATTAATTGGATATCTTTCCTTGCATAATTATAACCTCGTATAACTTCCAAGTCTTTGCGGTATTTGCAACTTTGTGCTGCCAAGCTAGCACTTTGAGACCTTGTTTTTGTAGATCTTATGTGCTAGCAGTTTGGTGTTTTAACGGTTTCTAAACTCGTGAATCTTTAACCATTTAAACACTATGGTTCAATTCGGCTTTCGGTTTTATTTGGTTTCTCTGTTCAGGAGGCCTTTATTAAGCTCCTTGAGGGTGGAGCAACTTTGTGTAAATGATGTTTAAGGAAATACTCAGATTATGCGTTGTTTTCGAATCTTTCTTATGATTGAATCTCAATCATCCTTGTGAGTTTTCTTGCCTTGGAGCGTCCAAGACTTAATTGAAGGGTGGTGTGATGGCCGGGATTGACTTACCCCTAGGGCCAAAACTCCATTAAAGGATGGTGGGACTGAATTGTAGAATGGAAAAGGCTTAGAGGATCACTAGGTGAAAAATGCTGAAATGGAGACTAGTGAAGGGGATCTAAGCCATGCCAAATCCTTTTGACAAGAATTTTTGGTGCACAATGGGCATCAACGAATAAGGGCATGGTAAGTGCTTTGTGTTTTATACAATCGTTACATCCTACTTTTACTTTTTTTTAAACATTCCTTAAAACTTGTTATTGGATAAGGAGTACCATCGTGAGAGCATAATAACTAATTATTGAAAATTTTGATTAATCGTATAATCCAAAAATCCTGCAACAAGTAACTAGACGCTAAGAGTCTATAACAAACAACATTCAATTTTCCATTATTTCTTTGTTCTGAATGCATAATTAACCATATAAATATAAATAATAAGTCATAATAACTTTTAAAAAAACGATTTGAGAAGTGCAATTGAACATGAAGTAAAAATAAAAATGTTCAAAATAAAAAAGTAGAATATAATACGAATTACTAATAAAATTAACACACGATTATTATAAGAGAAAATAGACGCGAATAGTTCTGTCTTCATCCTCAAAAAAGTTATATTCCATAAAAGAACGCAAGCCGTCTAAGCCATCAAGTTTCATGATGCACTAAAACCGGCGCCATCTCTATACGGCTACACCCTGACTATGAGGTTATAGTTGACGTTGGAGCCAACGGCGCTGGCAGAAGAGTTGGCGTTGACAAACCCCATCTATGTGGATGGAGGTACTGCATATTATGCGGTGGAGGAAGATAAGAGAGATACCCTGCGGATAACTTTTCGGTTCTATAACTGGTATACAGATTGAAGAAAAAGTGAAGAACGATAAAAGAAAACGCCGTTGCCGAGGATTGAACCCGGGTCACCCGCGTGAATACAACAACGACCGGATTGATAGGCAAGTTTAAAATGTTATACAATTTCATTTCTTACTGAAAGTTCTGTTATAGAATCCATCTAGAATTTTTTTTTTGTTGCTTTTTCTAATGAATGTTGTATCATCTAAGCAGTGAAGTTAAGTTGCTTTGATTCTCACTTTCACTTCCCTTAAAGAATTTGCGTTCAACATTTTCATCTACACATATTTGGACATTGGTATATATATGATCTCTAAATACTAAAAAAAACACTTTAGAAAACAATTAAACATGAATCAAATATTACGCACATACTTTTATTAAACTCTTCAGATTGAGACTGGCCATTACTGTCCTCAGACAACAATTTGCAGTGCAAATTAAAACTCCACAAACATGGAAATGGGTAATCCTTTCACAATATTAAGAAAAGAAAAGAAAACAACAAATCAAACTGGAAGTTGAATTTAACAAGAATTTAATTCTCTCATTATTCCTCATATTCAGCTTCCTCTTCCTCTTCCTCTTCCTCGTACTCTTCTTCGTCAACTGTTGCATCTTGATACTGCTGATACTCTGAGACCAAATCATTCATATTGCTTTCTGCCTCAGTGAACTCCATCTCATCCATTCCTTCACCCGTATACCAATGCAAGAAAGCCTTCCTCCTAAACATAGCCGTAAACTGCTCACTCACACGCCTGAACATCTCCTGAATTGATGTTGAATTCCCTATGAACGTCGACGCCATCTTGAGACCGGTTGGTGGAATGTCACACACTGTTGATTTCACATTGTTGGGAATCCATTCAACAAAGTAGGATGAGTTCTTGTTTTGAACGTTCAACATCTGCTCATCCACTTCCTTGGTGGACATCTTACCACGGAACATGGCCGATGCAGTCAAGTACCGGCCATGTCGTGGATCGGCCGCACACATCATGTTCTTTGCATCCCACCATTTGTTGAGTGAGCTCGGGAACAGTAAGGGCTCGGTATTGTTGGGATCCTCTTGAATTGAGAGGCGCAAAATCGAAGGAAATGGGATGAGATTCACGGCAAGTTTTCGAAGGTCAGAGTTGAGCTGACCGGGGAACCGTAAGCAGCATGTGACTCCAGACATTGTTGCAGATATTAGATGATTCAGATCACCAACTGTACTGGATTAAAAACAATATTACACAGATGCAACCCAAAAGAAATAGTAAATCAAAGCCTAATCAGCACTCCAATGCAAAATCAATGATCCTATTAATAGCAAAAATCAAAGCCTAATCCGCAATCCAATGCAAAATCAATTATTCTATTGATAGCCAAAAATAAAGTTTAAATCAATGGAATACCTACAGCTGGGATTGGAGAGCTTAAGTGTCCGGAAACAGATATCATACAAGGCTTCATTGTCAAGAACCATACACTCATCAGCGTTTTCAACCAGCTGATGAACAGATAAAGTAGCATTGTAAGGCTCCACCACTGTATCAGAGACTTTAGGCGATGGGAAAACTGAGAAAGTTGACATCATTCGGTCTGGGTATTCTTCCCTTATCTTCGAAATCAGAAGTGTTCCCATTCCAGATCCGGTTCCACCTCCCAATGAATGACAAACCTGAAACCATAATTAAAAGAGAACAAACGATAATCAAGCAGAGGTTAAACAAGTTTGTTTAGATCAAAATATATCTTTCTTCGTTACCTTGAAGACAATCGCAATTTTCAGCTTCTTTTCGAACAACATCGAGGACCGAGTCGATTAACTCAGCACCTTCAGTGTAATGGCCTTTAGCCCAGTTGTTACCGGCACCGGACTGTCCAAAAACGAAGTTGTCCGGTCTGAAAATCTGACCAACAGGCCCGGATCTGATACTGTCCATGGTTCCAGGCTCAAGGTCCATAAGGACAGCTCGAGGAACGAATCTACCACAACTGGATTCGTTGTAGTAGACATTGATCCTCTCGAGCTGAAGATCTGAGTCTCCATTATAACGCCCAGTTGGATCTATGCCGTGTTCTGCGCATACAACTTCCCATAACTTGGCTCCTATTTGGTTGCCTCATTGGCCGCCTTGAATATGAAGGATCTCACGCATTTTTGTTGGTCACTTAGGGTTCTTCGGGCTGAAGATGATGGGGTGGGTGAAATAAGATTTGGCGTTTATTAGGGAGAATTTATATTGGGATTTCAATGGAAGAGCTGAGCTGTTTTTCACTGTGTTGGTTACTTGAGTAAATTACACCCCTAATTTTTGAGTACATTTTTATTTTTCCTACTTCAATTTTAAAAATATTAAATTAATCATTAATAATTTTAATTTATAATAGATCAATCACTCATTATCAATAATCATTATTACATTAATAAAATATAGATGTGACATATTAAACCAACTAATCTAGTACCATTTAATCATGAGGGACACACTTCAATGATCGGTCGTTTTACTCTCCTCTCTTATTTTATTTTCTTCATCTTCTTTTGTTTTGCTAGGCACCTTTTTATGCTGGCATACTTTAATCAACAGAAGTCTATCAACAGAAACCATGAAGAGAGTTTCCTAAAAGTTTGTCAACACAATCATGAGATTGTTTGTAAGAGATATTTTCCTTTCCCCCCATTTGGTCATATTTTCAATCTCGAATGCAAACAAATCATAATCATTTGCTTATTAATTAAATATTTGAAGTATAATCTTTGAAATGGATGGGTCATGATCATAAACGGTATGAAGATAGTTACATGGTTGGGATTGATTATTTGATTATACACTACAACGTTCATGACTAGTCTCAAAATTTGGCCGTCAAATATAATGATATTTTCTATTTATTCGGGCAAAGTTAAAGAAAATAATAAAAATGACCCTAACATCTGTGCGAAACGTGAAGTTGCTGCTTGCTGGGGTTATCAATTTGACATAGGAAGTGAAGTACTTTTGAGAAAGTAGTAGCAGTCACCCTTACCAAACTTTATTTTTCCAGTTATCAAACTTTGTTTTGTACCCCTGTTAGGCCTCCGTGCTTTGTTAATAAAAAGGGTGCTAGCAAAACAAAATAAGGTGAGGAAAGTCAATCGGTCGATCAAAGGGTATCTCACATGGTCAAATGGTGTTAGGTCATTTGATTTAACGTGTCGCATCAGTATTTTGTTATTGCAGTAATGACTATTAACGTCGAGTGACCAATTTATTATAAATCGATAACGTTAGTGATCAATTTATTATTTTTGAAACTTTAGTGAAAAACGAGAACTTATTCAAACATTAATGATCGTTTGTATAGTTTATCTTAATTAATATTTTAGGTAAACTATATGTCACCGTGAGTAAGTTTATATTTTTCTCATTAAAATTTAAAAAGTAACAACATTATCTAAAATAATAATAAAACGGTCATTGTGTCGTTATCCCCATCACAGAAAGCTAATTAGACAAGTTTAACGAGTTGAAATAACATCATTTGACCACGTTGATAAATATCTTGACAACTCCCATCAAAACACACATAACTTAGCTTCTCGAGTACTATTATCCGAACAGTTCAAAGCCCCAAGTTGAGATCTTGAACTCCCCAACAGCAACATCTCAGAGCTCGTTAACTGTTGTCGAATTGAGCAGCACGAGTTGCAAAACTAAACTGTTTGGTGTACTGTTAAAAA